TCTGCGAAGGGGATCCGAAAAGTTTCGCGCGATCTTAATTAGCATAATATGCAAATCAGCCYGGCTTCCTGTCAGCTCCTCCAGGTTCGCAGCCGCTCGGCGCCGCGAGTTTCAGCTCGGCGTTAAATTTAAAGTTCTGGCTCAAATTAAGGGGTTTTCGGCGTTAAATTTAAATTCTGGCTCAAATTAGGGAGTTAAATTTAAGTTCTGGCTCAAATTAGGGGGTTTGGGGAGTTAAATTTAAGTTCTGGCTCAAATTAGGGGTTGGGATGGAGCCGCCCCCGACGCTGTGGATTCCCCGGGAGGGATGAAGGGCAGAAATCCCCGAGGAAATGCGCCCGGAGAGAGGAAAACCTCGGAGGAAATGGTAAGGTTTGCTCCCAGCGCAGGGAATTTGGGCGCTCGCCCCTCACCCAGGGGTGATTTCACCCCAAATTTGGCTCTTGGGGTTCATCTGATCCTTAAAACTTTAAAAATAAATATTTTTCACACCCCCAAGGCACACCCAGGGGTGACTTCACCCCGATTTCGGCTCTTGGGGTTCATCTGATCCTCGAAACCTCAAAAATAAACATTTTTCATCCCCCACCCCAAGGCAGCCGCTTTTAATTCAAGTTTTATTTTGCCTGAGAGTTGTGCATWAAGACGCCAATTAATTATTAATTAGAGCGTGACCCGGAGCTGTCAGTCCCTAACGAGCCTGGAGAGATTTTTGTTATGGATTTAATTCCGCCCCCGCTGGGGTTTTTCGGGACTCGACTCCTTCTCATTTCCTACCGGATTGGTGCCACCAGGACCAGAGAATTTTTTTTCATCTCCCGAAAAAAAACCTTTTCCCCCAAATCGCAATTAACAGCAGCAATTTTGGAGCGCGAAACTCCCGTTTTTTGGGCGGGGAGAGCGGGGCTGGTTCAGGGAGCCCAAAATCCCATCCCATAACGGCGCGGACCCCAAAACGCTTTTATTTTTCCCCAAAAGCGACTTACCGCGGTGGGACCGTCCTGACCCTGCCCGGTGGCCGCGGCGACATCGAGCCGAGAGCGGCGGCCCCCCGAAAAAAATCGCGCAGCGGCGAAATTTGGGGGAGGGAATTTCCCTTTGGGGTTTTGAGCGAAGAGCGAAACCTCCGAGGCAGGAAACGAAACGGGCGAGAGCGACGGCTCCGAGGCGAACTGGGAAAAGCCCCGGGGAGGGCGGTGGAGGCCCCCGGGGGGATCGGGGGGGCCGAGGGTTGGCTCCAAACCGTGCCTCAGTTTCCCTCATTAGCGCTTTAATTGGGGGCTGGAGGGTGTTGGTGCCCCGGAGGTCTCATCCCCTATAAAYCAGTTGATATCCCAATAATCCCCGWTAATCCTCGCTCTGCTCCAGCTCAAATCTTCCCCAAATCCTCCGCACAGCGCCGGAGCCGAAGGAAAATCCTCGGATGGGTGGGGGAACCCAGCCGGGCCCGGGTTCTCCCGTGTCAATCCTGCTTCTCCCAGCGCCCCCAGTGCCAAGGGTTTACTGGTCCCAGTGCACCACGGGTCAATACCTTGGGACTTCTGTAGATCCCCAGGATCCCAGTGTCCCCAGTGCCAGTCCCTTACTGGTCCCAGTACACCTGGGGTCATGACTTTGGGACTGCCATAGGTCCCTGTGGCCCCCAGTATAGCCAGTGCCTTACTGGTCCCCAGCACATGTGCGGTCCTACCCATATGGATCCCAGTATCCCCAGTGCCCGTCCCTTACTGGTCCCAGCACATCTGGGCTCACGCCCTGTGACTTCAATGGGTCCCCGAAGCTCCCAGTGTCCCCAATGCCAAGGGCTTACTGGTCCCAGTACACCGGGGGTCATGCCCTGTGACCTGTATAAGGCCCCGAGGCTCACAGTGTCCCCAGTGTCCCCTTACTGGTCCCCAGCACACACAGGGTCCTATCTATGCAGATTCCAGTGTCACCAGTGCCGGTCCTTTACTGGTCCCAGTACACCTGGGGTCATGACTTTGGGACTGCCATAGATCACTGTGGCCCCCAGTATGGCCAGTGCCAGTCCCTTACTGGTCCCCAGTGCACCTGGGCTCACGCCCTGTAACCTCTACAGGTCCCCGAGGCTCCCAGTGTCCCCAGTGCCAAGAGCTTACTGGTCCCCAACACACCTGGGGTCATGACCTTGGGACCGCTGTAGGTTCCTGTGGCCCCCAGTATGGCCAGTGCCAGTCCCTTACTGGTCCCCAGCACACACAGGGTCCTACCCATGCAGCTTCCAGTGTTCCCAGTGCCAGTCCCTTACTGGTCCCAGTACACCTGGGCTCACGCCCTGTAACCTCTGTGGGTCACCAAGGCTCCCAGTGTCCCCAGTGCCGGCCCCTTACTGGTCCCAGTACACCTGGGGTCATGATTTTGGGACTTCCATAGGTCACTGTGGCCCCCAGTATAGCCAGTGCCAGTCCCTTACTGGTCCCAGCACACCTGGGTTCATGCCCTGTGACCTCTACAAGTCCCCGAAGCTCCCAGTGTCCCCTTACTGGTCCCCAGCACACACAGGGTCCTATCCATGCAGATTCCAGTGCCAGTCCCTTACTGGTCCCCAGTGCACCTGGGCTCAGGCCCTGTGACCTCTATGGGTCCCCAGGGTCCCAGTGTCCCCAGTGCCAGTCCCTTACTGGTCCCAGCACACCTGGGCTCACACCCTGTGACCTCTACAGGTCCCCGAGTCTCCCAGTGTCCCCAGTGCCAAGAGCTTACTGGTCCCCAACACACCTGGGGTCATGACCTTGGGACTGCTGTAGGTCCCTGTGGCCCCCAATACAGCCAGTGCCAGTCCCTTACTGGTCCCCAGCACACACAGGGTCCTACCCATGCAGCTTCCAGTGTTCCCAGTGCCAGGCCCTTAGTGGTCACGCCCTGTGACCTCTATGGTTCCCCAGGGTCCCAGTGTCACCAGTGCCAGTCCCTTACTGGTCCTATAATGCAGCTCCCAGTATCCCCAGTGCCTGTCCCTTTACCAGTCCCCAGCACGGCACTCCCATTCCAGGCACGGGGCCGGCAGGTGGCACCAGGACCCGGTTTTTTCTCTGGCAGGTGCCTCTGGGATCCGGCGTTTTTCCCAGGGCAGGAGGCTCTGGGACCCGGGATTTCTCCCTCGGAGGTGCCTCTGGAACC